TAACAAAACAATAATACTTAATTTTATGTTTGAAACAATTAATAAAATCAGTATTTATAATAGTTACTGAATTCTTTGAGTCTTTCTCATCTCTAAAGTGGTCAAATTTGACAAATCGATGAAAGTAAAACCCTAAACCCTCTCCACCCATGGGAAGAAGACGATGGAGGCCCTCCTTAACCCTAGCCAATGCTTCTTCCCCTATCTCCCACCTTCTCGTTTCAACGCAGAGACCGTTTGGTTCCTCCGCAGCCGCCGTCGCTGTCTCCTCCGAATCCTTACCCACCCCGAGTCCCACCTCCCATCTTCTCTCCGAGGTCTCCTCCATCCTTACTCGCCGCAGCTGGCACCGGAGCCTCGTTTTAAGAAAATTGGCTTCATCTCTCACCGGCCAGCATGTCGCCGAGCTTCTCCAAGGCCTCACCGGCGACCTAAATAAAGCCCTAGCATTCTTCCAATGGATTGGCATCAGGCCGGACTATAGCCATACCCTGGCTTCATCTCTTACCGGCCATCATGTCGCCGAGCTTCTCCAAGGCCTCAGCTGCGACCTAAATAAAACCCTAGCATTCTTTCAATGGATTGGCATCAGGCCGGACTATAGCCATACCGTTGAATCCTACGAAGCCCTCTTCAGAATTCTCTTAAAATCCAAATTTTCAATCAACCTGTACAAGTTGGTAATCTCCATGCTCAAATCATCCGCCTCCTCGGAAGATGCGCGCAGGGCTTTTTCGGTAATCAAAGAGCTGAGACGTTCAGTGAGCGGACGGCATGGTTTTGGTGTTAAATTCGAGCCGTCGCTCTGGATTTATAATCTTCTGCTGAAATCCATGGCGAGCTTCAGATTGATGAGTGAGGTGAAAGAACTGTTTCGGCTGATGCTCAAAGATGGGATTTTTCCAAATAATTTTACTTATAACACCATCATCAAAGCTTATTGCGATGAAGGAAATCTTGCAGAGGTGAAGAAGTATATTAAAAATTTATCGGATGCTGGATTGAACCCAGATTCTTTTACTTACAATTCTCTAATATTGGGGCTTTGTAGGGATAATGATTTGGAAATGGCTTGCTGGGTCTTACTGATGATGCCAGAAATGGGATGCAGGAGGAATGTATATTCTTATTCAATTATAATTCAAGGTCTCTGTGAGGCCCATCGGATCAAGGAAGCCTTCTTCTTCTTCTCCAAGATGAAAGATGACCGTTGTCCCCCAAACTTACACACTTACTCAATGCTCATTAATGGGCTCTGCAAGGAAGGAAAGCTTGCGGTTGCAGAGAAATTATTGAAAGAGATTTTGAAGCAGGATTTCCTTCCTAACACGGTGACATATAACACTTTGATTGATGGGTACTGCAAGGCTCAAAAGATTGATTCGGCTTTCAAAGTTAAAGAATTGATGGAATCAAATGGATGCAAAGCAGATGATTATACTCATTCAATCTTGATCAGTTCTCTCTGTAAGGAGAATAAGCTCGTTGATGCAGAATCCATGCTTGAAACAGCCATTAAGAACGGTTTGAAGTTCAATGCATTCCCATATACTTGCTTGATTGATGGATATTCTAAAAGGAGAAAATTTATCGATGCTATTCGTGCTCTAAATCTTATGAAATTTAATAATTGCAAGCCTGATATTTATGTTTATTCTTCTCTAATCAATTGTTTGTGTAAGGAGAATAGACTTGATGATGCTAGGATGATGTTGAATACAGTTCTTAGTGAAGGGCTCGTTCCAACTGTTGTTACTTTCAGTCCCTTGATTGGTGGGTTTTGTAATAAAGGAAATATAAATGCTGCACTTGAAATTGTAGAGCTGATGGAGTCAAATGGGTGCAAAACAAACTCTTGGATTTATAATTTGTTGATGCAAGCATTTTGTCAAAGGAGAAATGTGCAAAAGGCGATGGCTTTGCTACGCAAAATGCAAAATGATGGGTTATCTCCTAATATTGTTACATATACGGTACTAACTCAAGGACAGTGCGATGAAGATGAGATCGAGAGTGCCTTTATGCTGGTTAAATCGATGGAGTTTAATGGTTTCATTCCTGATGAGCATATATATTCGATTCTAATAGATTCGTTATGCAAGCATGGGAGAACTGAGGAAGCTATTTTACTCTTTCACTCTTTGAATGGTAAAGGTGTAAGAACGAATGAAGTGATCTATAGTGCGCTTATAGATGGGTTATGTAAAGGTGGAATGATCGATATGTCTCTTTCTCTTTTCGACAAAATGATTTTTGAGAACTGCTTGCCCGACACATACACGTACAGCTCTTTGATAGATGGTTTGTGTAAAGCGAATAAACTGAACGAAGCATTGTCGTTAGTCGGAGATATGTTGAAGAGGGGGATAGAGCTTTCAACCACAACATATACAATTCTTATTGATAATAGATTGAAAGAAGGGGACTATGAAGGTGCCAAGAGACTGTTGGATGAAATGTGTTATTTGGGTTATAAGCCTAATGCTGTGACATATACCATGTTTATTCGTGCCTATTGCGGCGAAGGAAGGATGGAGGAGGTGGAAAATGTCTTTTCTGAAATGAGAAAAGCAGCAGTTTTACCTGACTTGATTACATACACCACCTTGATGGATGGTTATGGAAATTTAGGATTTACGGATCGAGTTTTTTGTTTGCTGAAAGAAATGATT